GAGAGAGAGAGAGAGAGAGAGAGACGTTTTGCGCTGCTTTTCTTTTTGTATTCCCACCAAGGGTTAAATTATGGGACTAGATGGGTGCTGATGGACATTTTCGAGTGACTCTGTCCCTGAGGAGGGAACCGGCTGCCGGTCCAGTTTACTGCAAAATGGAGACCTCGGCGAGATTTCGGCAGTTGAAGACCGTGAAGCTAAGCTGCGAAGCCACGTATCGGTTGGACATCAGTTTCAAACCTCCGCAAATATTAGAGTGGGTACAGTAAATACGTGTCAATTATATTTCCAAATTGATCTTCACTGTCCTCCCTTTCTTTCTTCCTTCTTCTTTTTCTTTTTCTAAGAGAAATCGTTCCTTCGCGTCCTCGTGCTCGATCACCATTTATTATTTTCGTACGTCCTTGCGCCACTGTTTCCTTTTTATCTGATTTTCCGACTCTCCGTTTTGCAGCACGAACTTTTTCTTCAGCGGCAATTGCAATAATTGGGATATCTAAAAACACGCGCCAGCGATTTATAGTATTTTAAAGATATTAAAAACACGATAATTAGTAGCTATTGTCTTACCCTCTGAAATTCGCGATCGGATAAATTTCTGAGACCTAGTGCTTGATAGATTTGTGGTTTTTTTACACTTCATTAAATATTGATTTCACACACGCGCGATCACAAATTGCGATTTTCATTTTTAAAAACCATCCGTTCAGTGTTGAGACTTATTTTTCGAATTTTTTTTTTTTGCAACTCCCGCGTCTAATTTTTCACGTAAATTGTTATTTCAACTGCTTCTGTTCATATTAAGTAAGAAATTATGAATACTTCTTTCACCTATTCTCCTTTTTACTGTAACTTTTCTGTTATAGTTTATAATTCAATTTTCGCTGCAGCAAAATTGCAAATTGCCGCAAGTTTCAGATCTCTCGTAGCACATACAACCGTTCGAGGAAAATTCTGGTTCTGAAAGTAGAGCTACACTAAAAGTTGAACTTTCACGTTCATTCAATACGCGCAAAACGATGCATCGAGAAAGATTGCGATCTATTTCCAATATGCGTCGAAGAGCATGAATCATAGGTTGAAAACAGTAGGGTGATATATGCACAATTTCCGAATGGTCGAACCTGAGTAAAGTGTTGTTGCAAATGCCCACGTTTTGTCGTGCACTATACATGCATACGTATGTGCACAACAACAACACGTTCGAAGTATCATGCACAATGAGCACGTGTCTTTTAAAAGAAATACAATATTGGTGTAATACAGCTGTTATCTTTTTCCTATAGCTCTTCCACAGCACGATTGCGACGCTTTGCAAGCCTTCAATTACGTATAAAAGTATAAAAAAGTTGTAGAATTGTCGGGCGAAAGTAGCACTAGCGGCAAATATGTTTATAATTCCGTTCGATATTTCCACGTCCTAAGGAATATAATCCTGTTATATTCCTTTTATTTCTGCAATGCGAAATAATAATTTCTTTCATTTGTTTCCATCAATAAGACGCAGCGTAGAATCCTTTTGCGGTATACAAATCTCTGCGAACAAACAACGTATATCAACGATTGATGATAATATCAATTAATCATAATATATACGATTGATTTAAAATTTATGGTCGAAGTGAATCGACCTGGCTTCGGGTTAAAAAATTGGACGGCCACGAGTGAAATATACTCGCGAAATCATTGCCGTTGACAAGGGACGTACATTCTCATCTGATCCCTCGGAAATTCACCGTCATTCCTCCTTCTGCTCCGAGTGATGCACCGAGGTACTTCAACAACGAGAGTGAAAAAATTCTGAAGTACGATCCCTCCGACCTCATAAAACGTTATGCGACGAGAGACGTTAAAAGTCCGAGAAGAAATGGACATTAGGAGAGATCTCCATCCACTCAGGCGATATATCCTTGGTTCCAACCTTATCGTCGTTGAAAGGACGAAGAGGGGAAGAGGGAGGATTGTCTCCCTGGATATCTGGAATATATTCTGGAATAATTACCCAGCTTGGATACTTGGTAAACGGGCGGATCATTACAGTTTAACTGGATCAAGGAGATCAACGATTGAGGATAAACTGTTAATTCACACGGACGATATTCAACGAGTGATCGGGAATTACGGGTGCGGATGCTAACAGCCCTTTGTTGGCCCGCGATGGAGGAAATAACTGGGCACAAATGATAAACGCCTGGGCGTTAAAGTCTCGTTCTTCCACATTTCGATGCCCGGGGGATCACTTTGTCGGAATGATTTAACGCCTGATAGCCTTTGCCGTGAATCCTGAAAAGAACGCCAGAAATCAAGCAATGAAGTCCCTCAGAATCTTCTCATAATTCCCTTCTTTTCAAATCTTGGTCTCGCTTTTGTCTCCTCGTTAGTATAATATTTGACTGTTTGTTTTAAAATTTTCGA